TAATATGAAACATGAAGTACACCACCATGTTATCTGGCAGAAGTGAAGCAGTTTTGCAAGTATGAAGATATTATGTTGAATAGTTAAAAGAGAAAGGATGTTACCCTAGATGACCCATAAGTTATCAGATGAGCTTTGTAGAGTCTAGAGGTCCGAGACAAAAGAAATCCAAAAGACAAAATGCAGCCTCAGACACACTCCTGCAGATTTTAAAGAAGTTTTCCACTTTTCTTGAAGAGACACCCTTCTCAGCATGGCCTCTGCTATATGTATGACTCCCATAAATTGTGAGCTAACAAGTTTGAACTGTTTTAACCTATTTTTAGCTGTTGGCAACTAGTTTTGCAGTAGAAAAATACAGATTTTATAAGGAGGGATAACTAAAACTAAAGACCTATAGAAGTTTCTTTTCTGATCCTGTTTGGTGTTCTATGTGCTTCCTGTATTTGTATGGGGATGTTCTTCCTTAATTTCAGGAAATTCTCTTCTACAATCATGTTTAAGACCTGGTCAACAACATTAACCTGAAATTCTTCTCCTTCCTCTATTCCTATGATCCGTAGATTTGGTCTTTTCATGGTGTCCCACATCTCTTGCATATTCCATTCCTGTGTTTTTTAAATTGTTCATAATCTTTGCTTGAGTGGTCCAATTCTTCAAATTTATCCTCCAATGTTTTCCATTGTTCTGTTTTCAGTGTTTCCAATGTTGTTTTCCATTTCATTCATTCTAGTAGTAAGGCTTTCTCCCCTGTTGTTTCAAGTTGGCTTATTGAGTTTTGCACTTCCTTCTTCATTTCTGTGTGAGTTTTCTTCTATGTTTCTATCTCTTTTGTGAATTCATTCAGAAGTTTATCCCTATCTTCTTTTAGCTCTTTGATTTGTTTGTTTGTGTGTTCTTTAAATTCATTAAATTCCTTGATCATGTTTATGATTGTTCTTTTAAATTCAGTGTCCTGGGTCATTTCTAGGGGGTTCTCCTTGTAGAACTCGTCTACAGGATTGGTGGAATTTGGTATGGACATAGTGTTTTGGCTTTCCATTTTATTATTCTTTCTTTGTGATTTTGGCATGTGAATTTCTTTTGTTGTTTATGACTCTGATATGAGAATTCAGTTGAAGTATGCTTCTGTTTGTTTTATCAGGGTGCCTAGATACTTTCTTTATTGATTATGTAAAGCTGGTTGGTACAGGGTTTAGGTTCTCTCAGGTTTAATTTGGAGGGAACTAATGACTTCAGATCAGCTCTTCAGGAGTGCCCACAGAAGCCCAATTCAGGTTCCAGTCAGGTACACTCAGGCTTCCTTCACCACATGGAGGCAGGATCCAGGTGCTCTCGGGCAGTCCCCTCCGTCCTCAGCCCCTATGCCAGACGGAGGACAGAGGGATGCCAGAACTCGGCACTCTGGTGGTCTGCTGAGATCAGAGCCACTACACCAATAGACGTTTAAACCACCTTCTCAGGCTGTCTGCTAGGATCTCAGCCTTAGCCCACCAAAGCCAGATCTGCCCTTGGGCCTTGGGAGGGGCCTCACAAAATCCCAGTTAGGGGGCTGGGTATGGCACGATTAGGGGAAGCTCACCACCACGTGGAGGCAGGATTAGGGGCTCTCAGGCCCGAGGCCAGAGGGAAGCCAGAGCTCGGCACTCTTTGGTGGTCAGCTGATGCAATTTTCTAGTAATCCATAGTAATCAGAAGGTTTTACATAATATTCTGTGTTGACTTACTATGAATTGAGAGGTCAGCTTTGAGCAAACACATTTGATGTTTCCTTTGGTGTTTTCTTCAAAATGAAGGCTGAATGAACTCATATAAAAGTTGTCATCCCCACCGTGTGCTCTGCTGCAGGAACTCTCCCTGGGCTCTCTGTTGAAGCTGGTTCTGGCCTTCTCTGCTGGCTTGCTGCCCTATGTCTACCTTCCCATTTCATCCTACCTCAGTCACGCCCGCTGGACCTGGGGAGACCAGACGACACTTCGAGGGTTTCTAACACATTTTCTCAGGGAAGAATATGGAACATTCAGCCTGGTAAACTATGCTTATAGTCTGACCAAGGAGACAAATGACAAAACTTGAGTGTTCTGTCTGGATCTTGTCTAAGATGGCAATACAGAGAATTTTCATTTTAGTTTGTTAACAAGCACACTTGTCCTTGGAATGTGGCTTTCACCTGTGGTAGGCACAAAAACATCAGTACCACTTAATCCAGCATCATTCTGCCATATCTAAAAAATACTTTCAGTCTTATTAGCCATGATTACTACTGTGGGACTTGCTCATCAATAAAAATATTTGGAGATGTTTGAAAGAAAGAAACTTTAAAATTTTTTATTTACTGTGACCACAACATCTCCAGCCACTTTTTTGTTTTTTTAGGTTGTGAGTCAAGACCTTACTGCATAGCACAGGCTTGGTTAAAACGTAGGATCTTCCCACCTCCACCTCTTGAGTATGGAATTACAAATGTGTGCCACCATACTCAGCTTTACATTTTCTTTTTTAAAACATACTTGATGAATAATAGTCATGTTGCTGTTTGTTTTCAAATGGAAAAGCTGTGTGTAAATGTTTCAGGAAATGAGTTTATTGAGTAGAAGCTGTACTTTTAAAGAAATTAAAAAGGCCTTGTCTTCCCTAAGGCACACTAGCAAAATACTTAACTGTGGTTCCTGTAAAGGATAAAAGAAAGGACAAATGGAAAGTATTTTAATATAGACAGTTTTGTCAGGTTTTGCTTGTATTCTGTGTTTTGCTGAAGAAGGAAATTTCAGAAATGTCTATTTACATAGAATTCTGAACACTAAAGAAGGTGTTGTTCAAGGACACACAAGAGTAGTACAACTATTTCTAAAACTTGGAAGAGAAGCCAGGCACGGTGGCACACAAGTATAATGCTGGCCGTTAGAAGACCAAAGCACTTTCTAGGCCAACCCAGTCCACAAAGTGAGGCTGTCTCAATAAATAAGTAAATAATGAAGAGGGGAATAATGAGCTCCAGGTTTAAGGTGGTAGTTACCTCTGAGGGATATGAAGGAGAGGCCTGCAAGGGTTTTGTGAAATTGTTGGTGGTATTGATGAGATTTTGTATTCCAGGCTGGCCTTGAACTCATAATCCTCTTGCCTTAACCTCCAAATGCTGGAATTACAGGCCTGTGCCACCATACTCAGCTTAGATTTTGTTTCCTGAATGGTAAAACTGGATTTAAAAAAAAAAAAAAACAAAAAAAAAAACTCTTTAGTCCTTAAGTACATATTATATACTTTTATAAATACATACATATATATATCACTTCTGGGAATACTTCACAATGAAAGAGAATAATAAAAGAATAATTGTTAATTATTTAGACTTAGAGAGTTTAATTCTTTAAATTTATACTATATTTTGCTTAGTTTAATCCATAAAAATGTAGATAGAGGGCTGTGCAAGATGATTCAGCAGGTAAGGGTTCTTCCCACGAAACCTAAGACCTGTTTGATCTCCAGAACCCACATGGTAAAAGGAGAGCACTGACTCCTATAGGTCGTCTTCTGGCCCCCCACTGCATGCCATGGTGGCATGAACATGTCCACACACATACACCCCAATGCGTGCGCACACACACACACACACACACACACACATGCGCACACATACATACATACATACATACATACACAATAAATAAATAAATGTAAAAAAATTAAATGTCACGTACATCATTTGAATCCAGGTCTTCTGATTGTTCAAAGTCAACCTTTTAAAAAAAGTAGGTTGAGGGCCTGTCTAGATTTAAGATTTGTGAAATGATTGTGAAACTATGAGCTATCCGGTTATCAGGAGCCCTGATCAAAGTATTGAGATGTAAAGAGAGGCTGCAACAGAAGTGTAAAGGACTGTGGGCTCATTGATGTGGTCAGTAATCATTCCTTCTGCAGTAGTTTAACTGGTTTTTAGCCAAATATTTCTAAGTTTTCCTAAAGGAAGTCCAGCTTTAGTTTACCCTGATTCTGAAAATTCAGCAAGGCTCTGAAGACTGAGTAGAGGGAAATGTTGCACCATCTGTTTAGATGATTAAAGATGCATTCATCTAACAAAGCTTCAGTTTAATTCTTGTGCAAATAAATATTCCTCTTTTGTGTTTAGGCTAAATCTGAAATAGGATCCAGTATGTCTGAAATTCTGCTGTGAGTACGAAATAGTCAAAAGTATTTTTAAATGGATTTTCTGTTAGCTATTTTAAATGATTTTTGAAGCTTTTCTTAGTTCTTTTCTTTGCCAAGTATTTCTGAGATGTAGTTTTTGCCTCTGCAATTAGTTGTTTGTACACTGTATTCTAGCATAGAACTGCACAAGTTCAGGTCAAGAAATAAACAACAGTATATGAGGAGTTTAGGAGACTGCCCAGTGCCTAAAACCTACAATGCTTCAGCTTTCAGCTGGATATAAAACGACCCAGTATGATGTTGCTCTGAAAATAATTTACTTTTTGCTCTGGTTTTCCTACTATTCTTTTTTTTTTAGAGACATTGTCTAACTTTGTCTTTATCATGATTTGAACAATTTTCTTACTTTGGTTTGAACTATGCTCATTTATTCCTTCCTAGCTTAATTTCTACAGTATCTCTTAGGACTTTCTTTTGGCTGTCGTGGGCTTTATTTTTGACTTTGTATTTTTAACATCCAACTTTATTAGTGCCAGCTTAAGCAGATCTGTGTCTTCTATCTAGCCAATAGTTTTCTTTAAAGAGTGGATTAATGTTTGATTTAAAACCTACACAGATTAAGACAACTTGAGAAAGCTCCATGTCAACTTTAAAATTATCAATACCAATTATAATTCTTCAAATATAGAATTTCAGAATAAAACTGGTTTTTTTTTTTGTTTTTTTTTTTGAGACAGGTCTCCCTGTAGCCCCAGCTGTCCTGGAACTCACTATGTAGACCAGGCTGGCCTTGAACTCACAGAGATCCACCTGCTCTGCCTCCCGAGTGCTGGGATTAAAGGCATGCACCACCACACCCAGCCTAAAACTAGTTTTTATAACACTCAAGTGATTTCTTAATTTCTAATTTGGAACTTTTTGAGGCTATGTAAAGAAGCTGTTGGGGAGAATACATTCATTCTCTCTCCCTCCCCCGGTGTGCCATCATGCCTGACTACAATTACATTTTTTAAAAGAACGTGTTTATTATCTCTCTCTCTCTCTCTCTCTCTCTCTCTCTCTCTCTCTCTCTCTCTCCCTCTCCCCCTCCCTCTCCCTCCCTCCCTCCAGCCCTTCTTCCCCTCCCTCCCTCCCTCCAGCCCTTCTTCTCCTCCCTTCTTCCCTCCCTCCCTTCCTTTATTATTTAGAGATACGGTCTCAATATATAGTCCAGGACTGACCTTGAACTCAAACTCCTCATGCTTCAGCCTCCAGAGTGCTGGGAATACTCTGTGCCACTATGCTTCATATTCCTTATTTTTATATTTTTTTCCTACTCCAAAATAGGATACATAATCATGAAAAAAATTTAAAATATAATTAATCAAAAGTAAGACCATTAAAATTACCCATAATTCCAATATGCAGAGAAAAGCCACCGTTTTTGTTTTGAGGCAGGGTCACTCCAGCTGGCCTGGAATTAGCTATGTAGACTAGAGTGACCTTGAGCTCATAGAGCTCTACCTGTCTCTGCCTCCCAAGTGTTGGGGAAAAAGGCATCCCTAGCAAGAAAACCACTGTTAACATTTTTGTGTATAGTCTTACAAGCTTTTATAATTTTCTTTGCCTTTAAAAAAATGAATTCACAAGATACAATTTTATTAGCCTGCTCTTTTTGACTTTACAACATATCTTGAAACTATTTCCCTATCATCAGTTATTCCTATATTACCTTTTGGTGGTTCTCAGAAAGGATTTTAAATATTTCTTTGAATGTTTGACTCCGATTTTCTGTCACTCTTTTCTCTCTTGTTGCAAACAAGGTAGAGAAAGCTGCTTTCAATTGAGACTTTATCAGTGGCTCTGTGCTTTCGCCATCTTCAGCTTGACTCTGGGAAGACATGCTGCCTGTCCCTCCCTGCCTGTCTTCCTGGGATCATTGTAGCATTACAGGTTCTCATTGTGTTTTACCTCAGCAAGTCCACGTGAACTCCTAGGAGTTCTCAAGAGTAATCCTAGACCATACATCCAACTTGTATTAGTTACACAGAAAAAGGCATCTACTGGGAACTGACAGTAAAATAGCAGCTATTAGGTTTTATACACAGAAAAAAGACTGCACAAGTGATGAGCACTCACACCCTCACAGGCACCAAATCATCCTGTGGGATGGAGATGGAACCCTCCCACTGGAGTGAGAGAATTCTTGGACTTTAATTGTTTCAGGTAGACAGGTTGTTGAGAGAGGAGATTCATAATTAACTTATAAGAAAATCCTTCAAAATGATGGAACCTAATCATGTACCCTTTCCCAGTCTAGCAAATTAAATTCTTTCCCTACATATATCTCTAAATTGCAATCCTGTACAAGGAAATTATTGAATCTAACCTTAGGCAGTGGCCATCTTTTAAAGCTTACATTTAAGCAACAGATCTGTAAGAATTAATTTTGAGACTGACTTCATTTCTTTTGAAGAAACGGCCTCACACTGGAATCAATTTTTCAAGTATGTTTGCAAATTAGCGAGGGCGGCGTCTCATAGTAGATGTGTCTCCATTAGTAAAATGCACATTGTATGGCCTCCGTAATTACAGCATCACATTTTCTGCACTGAAATCGCCAATAGGGAGCTGAGAGTTTCTTTAATGTCATTTATTTTTTTGGAAATTAAAGATCTCTCCAGCAGTGGCTATTTTAAAACTCAAATAACACTGAAAAATGCTTGTTCGTTAATGGGAGAATTTAGTTTAATTTTATGAAAGAAAATGAATAGTTTTCTCTGCCATTGCTTAAACATTTTCCAAACCAAATAATGTAGAAAACAAAGAAGCTGCTTAAGGAAGAAGATAACCAAGAAAGAATGGCTGGAAATCCCTTTTCTTGGCCCTTTTTTCCTCCAGAAAACAATTAGGATTAATTTTGTTTTTAATTACTAAATCACTGGTGACCATGTCTATACTACCAACAGAATCCATTTAAAATCCCTTTCAAATAACTTTTTATCAAGATATCAGTGATGTCCTGTACAGTATATGAATGTCAATCCTAAATGACATGTTAATAACAAAATACTGCAACTAGGAAATATCTAAGAATTGTTTGACTCTTTCTGTAATGCTCCCCTCCCAATTTGAAGGAAGACAAAATAATTTTAAAATCTGATCACAGTTCTTAAAGTGGTTTAGTGCATAATGGAATGTTTTCTAGATAAAATGTTTTCTTTGAAATTTACTAAGCTTCTTATACATCAACAGTAAGTTACTTTGTTTTTTTACAGTTCACAAATAACAAATATGAAGACTGAGCTTTCATTTAACATCCAAGCTCTCGCAATTTGGGCAAATATATGCTTAGTAATAAGGTGAGTAAAATAATGCTTTTTGTTGCTGTTTTTCCCATGTTTGAGAATCGAATTTAGGTTTTAGGTATGTCACTATAGAATGTTACCAGTATTGTCTTATATTTCAAACAAGTGACTCCTACCCATTTCTATTAAGGCTAATATATATTATTTCCTTGTTGTTTTATTTTGTGTTATGACTACAAATCAGTGATTTTAAAAATTAATCATTTGAGGGCCAGGCATGATGACTCCCAGCACTTGGGAGGGAGAGGCAAGTGATCTCGTGAGAGCCAGGCCAGTCTGGTCTACACAGTGAGTTTGAGGCCAGCTGGGGCTACAAGGAACCTGTCTCAAATAAAACAAAAAATGGGCTGGAGAGATGGCTCAGCGGTTAAGAGCACTGGCTGCTCTTACAGAGAACCCAAGTTCAATTCCCAGTACCCACATGGCAGCGAATAGCCATCTGTAACTCAGTTCCAGGAAACCAGGAGATCAACACCTTCTTCTGACTTCTTTGGGCATTGCACAACATGGGTGCACTTATAAAAATGCAGGCAACACACTTGTACACATACAATCAAAATAATAAATAAAATTTTAAAATATTAAAACCACAAAACCCCCAAAATTGATCATTTGATATCTTAAACTTAGGGTTTGTTCTCTTATCTGCCCATAGTTAATTATTGTTGACTTGCAAAGTAAGCATGCAGCTATTAAAAATTCCTCTGATAATAAAAGAAAACCTCATTACTGGGCATGGTGGTACATTCCTGTAATCCCAATATTCAGGAGGCTGAGGCAGGAAGACCACCATGAGTTTGAAGCCAGTCAGGATTTTATAACAAAACCCTGGTTTTTTGGGGTTTTTGGTTTCTGTTCTGTTGAATATATTTGTAAATACACATATATCTGTATTTCTGCTTGTTTAACACTTAATATTATATTAACATTTTCCCATACCAAAAAAGATCATTAAATGCCTGTAAATATCTATATTATATTTTATCCGATAATCATAAAAAAATTAATTCACTTTGAACATTTATATATTTATTACTTATGGCACTGAAGACTGAATCCAGAACCTTCTGCATGTGTGGCAAGTGCTCTGCCACTGAGCTGAGCCAAGCTGTGTCCCCAGTTGTACTTGGGTAGTTGATTTAAATGTTCTGCTTGGGGACCATTAAATTGCCTGCAGCTTTCCACTCTTACCAGTGGTTCTAAAGCACTCTCCTAGATTAATGTTTATTTTCATTTCTGACTATTTCTTAAAGATTTACATCCAAATGTTATATAACTGAGTCAGTGGTTGTATTTAAATTTAAGGCATTCATAGAGATATGATCTAATTAACTTGCCACACTACTGAATTCTCACCAGCATTGAGATTCATCATTTTAAACCTTTATTATTTTGAGCATGAAGGTCTTTTTATTTTGCATATGCTAAATGACTTCTCAAATTTAACAAGATTACAAGTTTGTCTATTTTCTATGAATTCTAGCTTTATATCTGTTGCATATTGTTGCAAGTTTACTTGCCTACAATATGTAATTCATATTTATTATTATATTTGGTTGTTAATTTGTCTGCTTAGAGTTTGAAAACTTAGATCTTCTTAAAAATAGCAAGTTTTATAGTTAAAAATATTTTTCTATAGCTTAAAGATATATATATTATTGATATTCCTGCATATAGGTAATTTTGGACATATTTTTATTTTGAAGGGACAAACAGCATTCATCATTAGTGTGGCTTTTCACGGGAATGGTTTGCGTTTATTCATTTTTCTTCGCCTGGAGGGCAAATTTAGATATCTCAAAACCACTTTTCATGGGTGTGGTAAGTTTACTTAGATACATTTTTAAACAGTAAATTTGTAAAAGTTGTAGAAATTTGTTTTTCATGAACCTGGTCAAAGAGCAAATTATTTTAGGTATTGTAAAAATTATGTATATATTTTTTATAAATCAGAAGTTAAGTTATAGAGTCTGCATTAGTTACTTTTCTGTTGCTGTGATAAAACACCATGAACAAGCAACTTTATTGAGCTTACAGTTCCAGAGGGTTAAGAGTCCATCATAGTGCAGAGGCATGGCAGCAGAGGTGGCCAGAGCAGAAAGCTGAGCACTCATCTTCAAGCAGCACAGGAAGCAGAGAGAGCAAAACTGGAAAGGGGCAAGACTATAAACTTTTTTTTTGGTCTTTTTTGAAGCAGGGTCTCCCTGTAAGCCCCAGCTGTCCTGGAACTCACTGTGTAGACCAGGCTGGCCTTGAACTCACAGAGATCCGTCTGCCTCTGCCTCCCAAGTACTGGGACTACAGGCATGCACCACCATACCTGGCAAGACTATAAACTTTTAAAGCCAGCCCCAGTGACATGTTCCATCCAGTAAGACCATACCTCCTAGAGGTTCCATGGCACTCCCCAGGTAGTACTACCAGCTGACCAAGTATTCAAATACTTGGAGACCATGGGGGGGGGGGGACATTCTCATTCAAACCACCACAGAGCCATTAAGGCCAAGGCCTCTTTTTAGGGAAAGCAATATTTAAGATAGATATGGTGATACACACATACAATCCCAGCATTTAAGGGGCTGAAGCAGGAGGATCAGGAATTCATAGTGAGTTCAAGGCCAGCCTGAGCTGTATAAGACTCTGTCTTAAAACAAACAAATAGACTAGTGGCGCACGCCTTTAATCCCAGCACTTGGGAGGCAGAAGCAGGTGGATCTCTGTGAGTTTGAGGCAAGCCTGGTCTACATAGCAAGTTCCAGGCCAGCGGGGGCTACGGGGAGACCCTATCTCAAAAAAAAGACACCCCCCCAAAAAAAAAAACTAAACAAATAATGCAGTTGTAAGTTAACTGAGTAGTTAAATAGAAAAATGAATCTAAGAGAATTTAAGTCAGTTAGTGTGTGTGTGTGTGTGTGTGTGTGTGTGTGTGTGTGTGTACCTGCAAATACAGGAACAACTGCATTTCACATGGAATTCCATTCAGAATAGCAAAATATGATATAAGAGGGGAGAAGACAGAGTGCCTGCTGACACACCCCATTCTTACATCAGTTGTTCAGGCCTATGCAAAGAGCATGGCATTTCTGTTTTCCCTGGCAGCCATCTGTGAGATTGGGATTAGACTCTTTCTAAGATTGAGATTAGGGTATTGCTTCTCCCCCCTTCCTGATTTTGTTTTTGAAGTGGGAGAAAGGGAGGTCTCTTTGTAGCCCAGGCTGGCCTTTAACTTATCATCTTCTTCCCTCAGCCTCTTGAGTAATGGAATTATAGGCATGAACCCTCATACCTGCTTCTGTTTCTTCTTATGCTACAAACTATAAATGTAAATAGTTATTTTGGAAAGCTGAAACCACCTGCTGTTTTTTTATGTATGCTTAAGAGGCCTAAAACCATTCTACTTGATCCTCTTAAATTTCAAATCGGTTAAGAAACAAGATAAGTCAATATAAAGTGGGTGGATGATCACCTTTATTACTGATAATGCTAGACTGGAGAATGTGACTTCTGAGAGCAAAGGGACTTCCTTATGCTATCCTTCGAAGCAGACAATCCTAGCCACGACTCACAAGCAGTGCCATATGCCTGTTTACCACCACCCACTGGGGCCTCAAGGACAGGGTCTGCCCCAGACCAGTGCTTTTTGTGGGTGGCTCACTTGCAAAAGAAACAGAGAGGGAAAGAGGACTGTGCTTGGCCCAGTTGAAGCTGCCAGTTCTCTATTGGATTAATCCTACAGGAATAAGGGAGGGGTTGGGGAGAAGTAGAGCTTTTCTGAGGAAGTAAAGCAAAAGCATTTCTTTACCTCTTCCACTTACAAATTTCTGGAATCAAAGTGAAGCCTGTAGTTCTGAGATGAATGTTGTGGGTCCCAAAGGAGAGCTGCACATGCCAAACTAGGAAGGGGCAACACTGGAAAATAAAGTAACCTGGGGCTGGATTGGAGAAGTACCTTAACAAGGTCTGATGCATTAGGCATAAGCAACTAGGTGTACATGAAATTCTTTTTATTTTATAAGTTCCCAACTGATCATATAGTCCTGACAGATAGACATACTGTTTGTGTGTCTCACAGGTGGAACGATTCTGGATGCAGAGCAATGCAGTAGTGGCTGTCCTCGCTGGCGTTGGGTTGGCTGCACTTGTGTCTGAGACTAACCGAGTGCTGAATAGCAAGGGAATTCAGTGTCTGGAGTGGCTGTCAGCAACACTTTTTGTAGTTTTCCAGATATACTCTAATTACAGGTAAGAACACATGGTTATTTTTCCAAAAAGTCATACTTATGTCAAAGACATTTGGGTATTTCGATTCTAGGACTATTTCATTTCTAACTTCCTGGTTTCCAGGACTTGAAGTGAGGACAGCTTGGTGTGATGCTGTGGTTTCGGAGTTCAGATGCTTGCTAAGCTTCCTCCAGTTCTGTGGTTTCCAACCATCACAAACAAGGATGGAGTCTGTGCATGTGGACTATTTGGTTATTTTCTTTTAAAGAACCCTAGAAGTACCTTGTTGAATATGGGTAAATCTAAAATTTCATGTTAAAATACTCTGTACATAGGGAATAAAAAAATTTGGAGTTCTTTGTGTACCCTAAAATAATTCACTTTATGCTTCAAATTTTTCATCTTTTGAGTAGTACCTGGCACTTTTCCAGTTAATATTGTAGTAGAGAATATTGATATTTCAAAATTAAGTTCCAGAAGTTAACTCTCATATGCTATTAGTATTATATATTTAAATTTTTTAAAATAACCTTTACAATGAAAATCTCAGTATAACATAAAAGATGTTCATGTCTTTGTTTGTTTGAGACAGGATCTCCCTGTAGCCCCAACGGGCCTGGAACTCAGTACATAGACCAGACTGGCCTTAATCTCACAGAGATCTGCCTGCCTCTGCCTCTTGAGAGCTGGGATTAAGGTGTGCACCACCATGCCCAGCAGATGTTCAAATTTTAAGTGATAATTTATTTTAAGCAGTATCATTGTAAAATTAGAAGAGAGAGCCTTTAAGTGTTTGTTATAGTGGCTTTGGTATCATTGTAAAAGACTAAATTTTCTCTTGTAGCTTAACTTTTTTAAAATTAACTCCTTAGGTCAGCACACATAGTAATGGGCTCCATCATGGCCTCTTCATACATATGTGCCATTACACTTGGTTCTCATTTGTTCCTGTCCGTTCTCCCTGTGCTTCTTCCCCCATTCAGTTGGTTCCATTTCTTCCCCCAGTTAGAACTTCCTTCTGTTTTCCTGTTGTATGAATTTTGTTATGCTATTTCTCACTTCCTTAAGATCTTTTCCTCCCCTCTCATGGATCACCTTTCTAATTTTGTATCTTAACATGCACATTGTTATATCAGGATCAAGTCCATTAGTGCTTGTTTTATGAAATTACGGCCTCAGTGTTTGGTGTGTATATATTTGTAATTGTTACATCTTCCAGATGAATTATTTCCTTTGTTAATATATAGTAACCTCCTTTATCTCCTCTGAATAATTTGAGTTTGAAGTTCACTTTATTGGATATAGAATAGCTGCGCCACCCTGATTTTGGCTTCCATTCACTTGATAGATTGACTTCCATCCTTTAATAGTATCTGTTGGTATCTTTACTAGTGATGTATATTTCTTGGAAGTAACAGATAGTTGGATCTTGTTTTTTAATCCAGTCAGCCAATCTGTATCTCTTTATTGGTGAGTTGGGGCCTTTTACATTTAAGTTTACTATTGAGAGATGTTTGTTAACTCCTATAATTTTTGTTGGTTGATGTGATTGTTGTTTGTTCTTTTCTTTGTTCCCTAGTAGTTAGTGTCCTACCATTATCAACAGTTTCTTGTGTTTACTGTGTTGGGTAATGATGGATTCCTTCCTATTTATCATTTGTTTAGCCGTTCCTCTCATACAATTTTTCTTTCCTGTGCTCCCCTGATTGACACTGTCTTTCTGCCTTCTCTGTATTCCTTTAAGTATCTTCTTCAATGCTAGTTTGGGGATCATGAACTCCCTTAGTTTGTGCTTGTTTTGAAATATCTTTATTTCTCCATCAATTTTAAAAGATGCCTTTGGATATAGCAATATTGATTGGTAGTCTTTACTTTCAGGGCTTAAAATATATCATTCCATGCTTTCCTGGCTTTGAGGGTTGTTGAAGCAAGAGCTGGTGTTCTGATGTTTCTGCCATTGTGGGTGAAGTAGCGTTTTCCTCTTACTGCTTTTATTATTGTTTCTTTGGTTGGTACTTTTTTCCCTATTTTTAATATTTTTATTGATTTTTTTGTGCATTTCATACAATAGTTCTTAATCCAGTTTAGACACCCCCCTCCTCTATCCATTCTTCCCCCTCCAACCCACCCCCACCAAACCTTGTGCCTTCTGTCATTTATGTTAAGTTCTATCTGGTCAAGCATTTGTATCCAGATGTCCTATGGTGCAAGTTCATCCACTAGAGTCTAGTCAGCCAATCAGAGATCTTAAAGAAGATCTACTCTCCCTCACCCATCAGTAAAACGTTACCAACAGTTCCCAGGCTAGGATCTGGCCCCACCACCTATTTCCCTCATTGCACACTGGGCCCTTGTCTGATTGAGTTGGTATGGGTCTTGCTTTGTGTTTTTGACATCTTGGATGTAATGTGCTTTGAAGAGGTTCTTCTTTGGTCATATGCATTTGTGTTCCTAATGTTCCTTGTGTTTAAATGTCTATTTCTCTCTCTAGTTTGAGAAAATTTTCTGCTATAATTTCATCAAAGAGATTTTTCTGTGCCTTTAGTGTTGATCTGATCTCCCTTTTCTAGGCTGTGGATTCCTGGGTTTGATCTTTTGATTGTACCCAAACTTCTTGGATGTTGTGATTATTTTCCTTTCTGTATTTTTTTTTTTTTTTACTGATACTTGAATGCCTTATTTCATAAGCCATGCCCTCCATCCCTGACATTCCTTCTCTGGCTTGGTCAAGTCTGCTGGTCATGGTTTCCGTTGTGTTTTTATATGATTAATTGAGTTTCTTTTCCAACCTTTATATTTGTTTTCTTTTTTGCCCCAAGCCTCAATTTCCTTGCTGAATTTTTCTTCCATATTGCTGGCTTTCTCATCCATTTTGCTCACTCTTTCTTTCCTCTGTGTTTCTGACTTTCCTCTTTAGGGTCTGGACTGAATTCATCTGCTTATTCCTGTCCTCTTTCAGATTAGGAATGAGACAGGGAAAGGAGAGAGAAAGAGGGGTCACAAGATTAAATAAATGAAAGAAGGATAAGAGGTGGTGGAGAAGCAAATTAGGGAAGGAAAGTAAAAGAACAAGAGACTAGGAAAAGCTGAAAAAGAAAGAAACAACAGCAAAGCGGTCCCAAGAGTGAAAAAGTGTGAAAACAAATAATGTAAGAAGAGAAGTTTTTTAAAAGCCAGGAATGTAAAGCCAGAATACTACTGTAAGGAGGGGAAGAGGAGAAGAGAGGTCAAAAATAGACTTAAGAAAGAAAAAAGTATATTGCCTTAAATGGAAAAATATGTAAACAAAATTAATGACTGTATAAAGGAGGTTAACACATAAAAACATTCATTTCAATAAAGCTGAGATCTCAGCAGTGTCTGTTCCGGCTCCCTCTGGCATAGGAGCTGAGAATTTGGGATCTCCTGAGAGTGCCTGGATCCTGACCCCACATGGTGATAAGAGTTATGCAATTTGGGAGTCTTTTAGATAGACCCACTGAAGGGATACCCCAGTTGCCTCACACTGTGTCCTGTTCAGCATGGAAGAACTCAGGGCGGTCCCGATTCCCTATCGGTAATTTGGGTAACCTCTTCAGAGGATGGCGTGATAAGAATAGGAGGTAGGAATTGGCTAGGCAGTTAGGGTGAAAAAGACCCCAAAGAAAAGTAGTCAGTTTCTTAGCTAAAAGTCAAAATGTCCTTGGGCCTCTTAGCATCATACTCTGTTCCAAAGGCCAAAAATGTCAGAAGTATCTGGGAGTTCTTATCTAATCCCTAAAAGATTTTAGGGTTACCTCTTCAGAGGGAGGAATGTTAAAGTAGCAAAAAGCCCCATTGGAAAAGAAAAAAAAAAAAAAAAAAAGAGAAAAGGGAAAAGAAGGTTTCCAAAACCCCCAAAAAAAAAAAAAAAAAAAATCAAAGAAGAAGAAAGAGTCCATCAGAAAAAAGTTATCAGAAAAGTTATCAGAAAAAAGTGATGCGAAGATATGGGAGGTGCTGGAGGGGAGGGAGTGGGCATGGATTTGATCAAAACACCTTATATGCATGTATGAAATTCTCACTAAAGTTTTTTTTTTTAAGTTAAAAAAGCCATTCATGTCTAGATTATTTCTTCAGAAGAAAACATTAGTTGTAACCTACAAGGCATAGGTGTAGGAAAGGACTTTCTAAATCAGACATCAATTGCTCAAGAAATAAGGCCAAGAATCAACAAGTGGGACCTCATTTTAAACTAAAAAGCTTCTGTACAGCAAAAGAAACAACCAAGGAAGTGAAGAGAAAACCCACAGAGTGGATGAAAATCTTCACCAGCAACACATCTGACAGAGGTTTAAAGAATATATAAAGAATTCAAAAAACAGGGGCTGGAGAGATGGCTCAGCGGTTAAGAGCACTGACTGCTCTCGCAGAGGACCTGGGTTCAATTCCCAGCACCCACATGGCGGCTACGAACCGTCCTTAATTCTAGTTCCAGGGGAATCCGAAACCCTCTTCTGACTTCCGTGGCATTGCACGACACGGGTGCACTCACTTACATGCAGACAATAGACGCATACACATAAAATAAAAATAATAAATAAAATACTTTAAAAAGAAAGAATTCAAAAAACAAAGAATCAAGAAAGCGAGTGACCCAATTAAAAGATGGGCTAAAAATCTGAACAGAGAGTTCTCAAAGGAATAAATAAAGATGGCCAAGAAACATCTTTAAAAGTGTTCAACATCATTAGTAATTAGGGAAATGCAAATTAAAACCACTTTAAGGTTTCATTTTACCCCAGTCAGACTGACTAAGATCAAGAGAACAAGTGATACCAAATGCTGGAGAGAATGTGGGGAAAGGGGAACACTCATCCACTGCTGGTGGGGCTGCAAACTTGTGCAACCCCTATGGAAAGCAGTGTGGAGAACTCTTAAAAAACTACAGATGAAGCTACCATTTTACCCGGTTATGCATAGCCAAAGGACTCATCCTGCTGTAGAAACACTTATACTATCCATGTTTGTTGCTGCTTTTTTCACAATAGCTAAGAGATGGAAGCAACCTGTGTCCCTCAACTGATGAGTGACTATTTCTTTAAAAAATTTTAGTTATGGAACTGGAGAGATGGCTCAGTGGTTAAGAGCACTGGCTGCTCTTGCAGAGGACCCAGGTTTGATTCCTAACTCCCACATGGTGGCTGTAACTCCAGTTCCAGAGGATCTGGTGCCCTCTTCTGACCGCCTCGGGCATTGTATAACACGGGTACACCTACCTACATGCAAGCAATACACTCATACACATAAAATAAAAATAATGAATAAAATATTAAAAATTTTTTTAATTACATTGTTTCTTTTGCATCGGGGAGGGGCACTGTGCTCTTGCCAGGAACAAGTATGGAAGTCAGAGGACAGCTTGCCGGAGTCTGTTCTCCTTACGCCATGTCCTGGAGTATGGGGGATCAAATTCAGGTTATCAGTTTTGGTGGCAAGTGCTTTTACCTTCTGAGCCATCTTGCCCACCCAATAAAAACATTTAAAGTTTTTAAATATAATAAAAATCCTCCTAAATACATAGAAAAAAAAGGAACATGGAGGAAAAAGAAAAAGAAAAAAAGATATCAGAGCAGCTTCTTTTTGCTTCCTCAAAATTTGAGGACTTCTAGTTCTGTGTGGAGGGGAGGGGTCAGTTGAACTTGTGGTCTCATCTTTCCTTTGATGTTTGATGTTGGCTGGTTCTGTATTAGACAAGTATCCATTGACCAGAGCTGTCTTCACAGCACTCTTTTTCCTTCTTTGTGCATTAGGGGCTAGCTACACAGCTACACTTGGCTTTGCATTCTGTGTGC